ATATATCCGCCGATCAGCTGTCAAAGGATACGTCCTCACCGCACGACAGCTAGACCAAACAAAACGCATCGATAGACATAAACAGCTTCTTAGCGACGATAGAAGATCCTGATAGAAGACCCTGATAGAAGACCCTGATAGAAGATCCTAATAGAAAATCCTGACGATCGTATAATACAGGAACGTATCGTCAAATGGGCGGGACACGGACACTAACACTTGCCCCCTCCTCTTCAAAATTGTCGTCCCGACAATTAATTCAATAGGACAGATCCAGAACAATTCCTTACAGGAACCTCGCCGAATTACAGTCCCCGATGTGACTCCATGTTCTTCCCGAACTGCTGTTCCAGGTACAACGAACTGCACATCATCTGGGTCCAATCGACTTCACTGATTCCAGGAATTTTCCTCAAAGTCCCAAAAATTCTTCAGGCAAGAGAGGGGTAACATTCCGTGAACCCAACGCCCTTTTAAAGGACTCCTCAAGCTTCTGCCTCGGCATTTGCCCAAAGCCCCCGGGAAAAACCACGGATCAAAATAACCACGGGTGAGGCAGTCTTCGTCCCTTTTGTGAGGTAGTCTTCATCCCTTTTATCTCTCTCATTTTCATCAGGTCCTTTTTCTTTTTGTTGCCGAATAAGATTTTCCTGAAAAACAAATCTTACGGCAGAAAAATTGAAGAATACACAATTTATTAAAAGTACAAGTAACCTATCGTGGGTTCCGATTCTAATGCAAGTTTCGATTATAAAAAGGAGCTAATCTATCCGAATGCACAATCTTTCTTTCAGAAATCTCTCACTAAGAAAGACAACATCGGAACTCTTTTAAATCGACAAATTCTTCCGTCCAAATTTCCCTTATAATAAAAATTATTTCTAGTTTTACTTATTCTAGCACATTGTGTTCAATTTCACTATTTCTATGTGTGGTGTTTGTTCGGAATTATATTATGTGAAGGACTTAGCTGGTTATTTTCCATGTAACAAATCTTTCCTGTAATCGGTGCAGTTCTCGTCCGCTGTTGCAGCTCGTCAAAAATTGAGCCTGCTGTTGTGAGCGTTCCTCTCGCAATTCTCTAATTTGTTCCAACGCCTCCGTAAAACGTCCACGCGCTCGGAAGTTTTTCCTGTTTAATCGCTCGAAGTGGAGTCGACTGTTGTTCTTCGCCGATCATTGCTCGTGACGAAGCTTGCGAACAAGTAATCCTCGGAGAATGCATCAAAGACATCGTAACCTTTTCACCGCACACACACACAAAATATTTGTCTTTTTCACTACGGCTCGTGGCTCGTGTTACGTCCGAACTATCCCGGACGAGCCCCCAAAAATGTTACGTCCGCGACCACCCTTCGGATTAATCTCAAAAAATGTCGCTCGCACTCAAACTCTCACACGCCGGAAATGAATACACTCGCGTAGTAAAGCAATAAACTTAATATTAGAAGCCAATAAACCGTAACGATACAATATTAATATTACGGGCATTAATTTTAATGCAAAATATCCGCCGATTAGCTGTCAGAGGATACGTCCTCACCGCACGACAGCTAGACCAGAA